CTTCCCTACCGTTCATAGTCATGACTAATGCAAGTCAATTTAGGATAGACACTATATTGCAACAAAACAAAGGGTACCATGATACTACCATCCCATGGAGTTTATGTCTAAACGATTGCCCTCATACAACGTAGCTGCATATACCTATAAGTGAGAGCTGTGTGCATTATATATGGCATTGAACTTGATTGAAGACGTGTCATTATTATCTTCTAGGCAACATTTCACAACTCTACTTAGTTCAAGAAACCCTGTAATATTGGTTGAAGACAATTTATAATGTCTACTAAGTTAGCTAGATAGGCATAACGAAACGATGAGTGGCCGCAGGAGGACCACTGAGACTCTCTCTCTCTCTCTCTCTCTCTCTCTGTGTGTGTGTGTCTGTGTGTGTGTCTGTGTGTGTGAAATACAGAACAATTCCTATGGGCCCACAACAGGCAGGCATACCATCGTCGAATCTACGCCCAAATAGGATGACCAAACAAGGCAAATTAATCAAAATGCTCGCATCACGGACCACGAGCCCCGAACCTGAGAAATATAATATACAGCAAAATAGCAAAAGACCCCCCACATTAGCATTAGCTCAGTCGTAGCTGCATCTCAGCAAAAACCTACGATAAGAAGAATTGCAGAGAGGATGGAACAGTGCAGGGAGAATAAGCAGAGGCATTAAAGATTTCGGCGGCACGGCCAATTGGGATACATCATCTCTTTATCCTCTCTTTTGCACCCCACAACGACATAACGAGAAGTACCTTCAAGAAAAATAGAATATATATGTAGGACTCGAAGTCAAAACATACAGAATCAGAAAAGGCTGAGATGCGAGATAAAATAGACACGTTGCTACAACAGAACGCACAGCTAAGGGTGGAGCGGGGAGCGAGAGAGCCGGGAAAGGTAGTGCGGAGATGAAGAAGGGGAAGGAGAAGAAGAGGGAGAAGACGAACGAGAAGAAATTGAATAGGAAGAAAGATAAAAATCAAATAGGAGGAAGAAGGAGAGCAAGGAGAAGTGAGCACAAGAGAGTCAAGAGAGAGAGAGAGAGAGAGAGAGAGAGAGAGAGAGAGAGAGAGAGAGAGAGAGAGAGAGAGCAATAAGAGAAAGCAGCAAGCTGAAGAGGGAGTTATGGAGTTGATGAGCAAGGAAGAGATGGGGAGGGAAAAGAGCTCAGGAAGCGAGGTGTGTCAAAATCATCACTCAAATCCCGAGCACTCTGCTTGGAAATTCTTAAGATAGTCCTTGATGCGCCCGACAGAACTCCATCACCTAAAGTGTATGCTGTACGCAATGGAGACGCCGATGTGACCTACATGTTTCGTTCACCACCGAATACGACCTTGTTAGGGGGGCAAGAAGTGGGAATGAGAAGATGAGAGACGCACCAATGAAGACTTATATAGGGAAAGAACGTATCTAAAAGTGGTTACGAGAAATTTAAAGAAAGGAAAAATACGAGAAAATTTGGAAGCTCCAGGAATTCGGAATTTTAGAACACCTGACTTCAGACAGGTCTGTAGACCTTCCCACAAAGTGACTTACGAGATTCCGGGCGGCGCAGACCCGTCTGCATTGGGCAGTAAAACGACACCGGGCCCACCCCCTTGGGTCGGGACCTTACTCCCCATGGCCTGTGTCCCATAGCCTGGACATCACTACGGCACCAGCTGAAGCGGTTTTTCACCAAAAAGGCCCCCCGCAGCCACAAACATCCAAACCTGAGAAATTAAGCGGAGCCATAGGGTTATCCCCGGTCTCTGGAGGGCGAAAACCCCTTCTGCATGAGGTTCCCACCCGAGGATCATCCTTCTGAAACATGCGCCATTTTTAGGTGACCCAGTTTTGCAAAGTAGTGGTCATTCTTGTGATCATGCAATGGCCTCCCAGCTGCATCACAGAAATAAGAGCCCCAAGTGAAGGCATGTGCATAAAAGGGGCCCGGCCAGGTTTGTAAAGGCGTGGGTCAGGCTGAAGGTTGGTAGAGGCCGTGGGGTTGGGATCTCGGCAGACACGGGCGCTCCCGAAAGAAAAACGGCCCATCGAGATCTCAACCTCATAAAGGAGAGGGCGAGGATGCTGGGGGGAGGCTTTGGTCAGGCACATACACCAGGCTGTTTCACACGTGAGCACAAAGGAAGCAGAACTGCATGCGGGACCAGAAGGGATGCAGCGCCAGCCATAGCTGGGCTGAGGGCCACAAAGAGGGAGAGATGGCGTGAGAAGGGGAGGTCCTAGGAGGAAGGAGGAAGCCAGTGGGAGATAGAGGCTGGCAACGGACATACCTGGTGATAGCCAATTTCAGTCATTGGTAAGAGCAGCAATGTGCTCTGTGGCATTGTATATGGGAGTAGCGAAGGCTAGAGTAGGAGGTTGGGTACCTGGTCACATAGTCTGGTAGTGAGACCAGTGAGAGCAGAGAGCAATTGCTGTGAGGAAGAAATTACTTCTTTTTTGTTTTCTTTTTTTTTTTACACACCAAACACACACATGCACCATCTATTCTGGGGAGCGTCAGTCCAGTTGCTTATCACTGGCAAGCATAGAGACCGATACAAGACGTGAAGAGACAAGACAGACACTAGAAAGAGACAAGACAGACACTAGAAAGAGACAAAGAAAGAACTTAAAGCAAGAAAGAATAGCTTGGACCCAAGAGCCCAGCTCAGTGGGTACACCCTTGAACTGTTGAAATGCAGATCCAGATGAAGGAACATGATGAGTAAAACCAAATATTTCTGAATTTCCTGCAGTGGGGCCAGTCAGCTCAAGGATGATATCTCAAGGCCGTCGCCCTTTAAAAAGAAAAAAAAGAAAGAATAGCCTGGAGAAGAGAACAGCTTATAGTGTTCCTCCTAGGCTCTAGATGCCTCAGAGTGTGAAAGGACTCCCAGACTGAAGCATCAGCCCTTAGGAACGGTCCTCCCCTAGGGCTGATATTGGCAGGGAACATTCATGTTAGTACACAGTAGCTCAACATGAGCACCATCAAAGACACTTCAAGACTCTGTTCTAGTGCTGGTGTGATCATTGCTTTGCCATTTCTTCTAAATGCCTAGTCTCCATATGCATGCTGGTGACAAGGGAGTCCATTGTGCTTGCATACTCAACGGTTTCTGCGCTGTCTGACTATTTCATGCAAAAAATAAAGGATATCCATTATTATTATTATTATTATTATTATTATTATTATTATCCCTTACTAACTTTAAGTGAATAGCGGGTCTGGCGTCACGCTCCCGCCAGGCCCGGCTGCCACTCTTGGGAACGAATCGGGGACACCAGGGATGGGCCCGGCAGACACCCGGGGCGTCGTTTTTTTTTTTTCCTCTTTTGCCTCGCGCGTGTCGTGGTCGGATCCGTAGCGTGACTCCAGAAGTTTCTCGCGCCCAGAGCCGCGACGTGGGGAGATACACTGGTCGTTCGTATGAGACTGAATTCTGCTCAGGAACGTGGGGAGATACACAGGTTCCCTTTTGTTCGTTTGTTTCGTTTCTTATTTTTTTTGTCGTTTTTGCCAGTTTCCTTTTGTTCGTTTCTTTCCTTTTCTTTCTTTTTTCTGTCGTTTTGCGGGTTTGCTTTTGTCCCGCCCGTTGTTTTCGTTTTGGCCTGAGGGCCTCCCTGCACTGCTCTCCAAATGTGCAAATGAGACTGAATCCACTGCTAGAACGCGGAGAAATACATTGCCATCTTTTTTGTCTTTTGCACTACCAAGCGTTTTTCCTTTTTTTGGTCGTTTTGCGGGCCCTCCATCGGGGAGGTTCGTTTAGCATGGCTCCTGCGCAAGGATCACATTTGCAAATCGAGGGGGACGTCGCACAGCTGCGAGTTCACATACAGCACCTGCGGCGCGCGTGTTGGACCAGGGCAGTGGACGGAGGGAGGGGCAACGCGAGGATCAAGAGAGGGACCAGCGGGAGGAGGAGGAACGGGATGAGAAGAGGGGGGGGGAGGGGGGGGGAGCAGCAGGGAGGCACCGCAGAGGGAGCAGTGGGCGAAGAGTAGGTTTTCCACGGGGCTGCGTTGCATGCCGTGGGCGTAGCTTTTTTTTTCTTTTTTTTTTTTTGTTCCCCTGCTCTTAGTCCCCGCCGCAGTCGCGGCGGGCATCCTCCTTGTTATTATTATTCTTATTATTGTAATAATTGAAATCTTACTACTTTTGTCCGGTTTAAATTTTAACAAAAACACTGAGCCTGTGACAGTTAAAATAGTTTATCTTCCAGTCATTCCAATCAACCTTTCACCAAGGCTCATTAAACTTTGAAATCATTAGCCAGCATCCTATCATAACTGTCAGTAAGATCAATGGTTCCTGCTTCCATCTGTATTTTCACCATGCATTCGCCATGAATCTGGTTATCTCAAGAAGAAGAAGAAGAAGAAGAAGAAGAAGAAGAAGAAGAAGAAGAAGAAGAAGAAGAAGACAACGACGACGAAGAAGAAGAAGAAGACGGCGGCGACGACGACGGTGGCGGTGGCGGTGACGATGACAACGACAACGAAGAAGAAGAAGAAGAAGAAGAAGAAGAAGAAGAAGAAGAAGAAGAAGAAGAAGAAGAAGACAAGTGGGATGAGGGAGACGATGTGGAGAAGACAAGTTAGATGGGGTGGGATGAGGGAGACGATGTGGAGATGCAAGAAGTAGTCTAAGAGGAATGTGAAAAGCAAGAAGGACGAACAGGAGAAGTGAGGAGAAGGAAGAGGATTGCAAGATGGAAGCAGTGGTGGGAAAGAAGCAGGAGGATGAGGATCGGAATGAAGAGGAGGAGGGAATGGCATGGGGCGAAGGAAACTGAGCACTTCTTACATGCCTTCCAAGAAGGACAAAAAGGCAATTTCCCCAGAGGTGACAATGTGGAGGGGCAATAAGTAGTCTCAGAGGAATGTGAAAAGCAAGAAGAACGAAGAGGAGAAGTGAGGAGAAGGAAGAGGATTGCAAGATGGCAGCAGTGGTGGCAAAGAAGTGGGAGATCTGACTCCATAAAGAAATCACATACCTTGGCTGCATAAAGAATGGAGTTGAGGAGCCGTAGAAGATGCACAGCACATTTGTCAATGCCTCCTACCGCAGTTTCCTGATTTTCCATTAGGCCTTCAGCTTGAAGTGATTCCACTATTGAAATAATGCAGGCCACAGGAGTTCGCAGCTCGTGACTGCGCACAATATAGGAGATCGCCAGTGAGAGATGATCCAGAACATTCAATAGTCCGTTTGACACACTAAAACAGTTCGTCCCAGATCATCAATCGTGACTGCGCACAGTATAGCAGATCACTAGTGAGAGATGATCCAGAACATTCAATAGTCCGTTTGACACACGAAAACATTTCGTCCCACATCATCAATCTTGTCCAACAAGCTCATCACCATTTTCAAGCAGAGGAACACACACACACACACACACACACACACACACACACACACACACGGAGAGAGAGAGAGAGAGAGAGAGAGAGAGAGAGAGAGAGAGAGAGAGAGAGAGAGAGAGAGAGGACGATGACCTTGCCCATTTCACTTCGAGAGTAAATTCTAAGACGTGACCACTTTCAAAATTTTGTGACAATTCTTTCGTGTTTCGTGCCTCACCGAAATAGGTATCCAATTAGACAAACAATGAAGTGAAAAATTATAGTCCAGAAGAATAGTTGCTATGGATGTTCGATCAGGGCTGGATTAAAGTTTTCTTAAAGCAAGTTGTAAATGTTCTTTGTGTCCTTCCAAGGTATTACTGAACACGGGGATGCCATTAAAATAGACCATAACAAACTTATTAAGGCATTCACAGGAGAGACCATTCGTGGCCCATTGGAAGGTTGAAAGAGGATTTGTCAATTTGAAGGGCATAACTGTGAACTCAATGCCCATAACAAGTGCAAAATGCAGTCTTATTTTGATCTTTGAAATCTGAGACGACTTCAATCTGATGGTAGTCTGACCTTCAAGCAGTTTTTGAGAATTACTTGCGACCTTGCAATCTATAGAATGGATCATTCATCCGAGTCAAAAGTTCAATGTTTTTGACTATATAGTCAATGCGAAGCTTAAGTTCTCCTTCTTTCTTTGATACAAATGATAGAGTATCAACTTCGATTGTTATCACATTTGACTTCGCTAGTCAATACAAAGGTCCTTCATTCTCTGGTAAGAACAATAAAGGAGCACCATAAGGAGTGTAACCCTGCTCGGTACATCCTTTTTTGACAAGTACTTGCAATTATTTCTGCAGTTCATGGACTTTAGTAAGAGACATTCAATAGAAAAGTCCTTAGGATTTTTACTTCTTTAGATAATCTTATATGGTATCCGTAATGTTCTCTAAGTTACTACTAAAGGGCTCTTCGTGCAAGTCCTTATATTTTAGGAGTACTTGAAGGACTTTCTCTTGACAACGACTTACCAAAAATCATGAATACTTTCTCTCCATCTTCTTCTTTTGAACATAAACTTTAAGTGGGAAAACTCATACAACATACGAAAAATATTTAATTTAAACCAGACTTACGATACAATCTCAGATGATTTATACTCACATTCGTGCTGTGTAGCAATGCGAACGTGTTTGGGGCTTTTGCGAACACCCGAACATGTTGGGAGTTTTTTGGCCGAACGCCTGTCGAACATTTTTTTTGATGATTTTTTTTAAACTTTTTTAACTTTTCATTTTTAAGTTGAGTTTGGCTAAGATCTTGAACATGTATCCCAGAGAAACGTTGTTTGTATTATTATTTTACCTAACCTACCATTTTTTTCATACTTTTTGGAGAAACGTTTTTTTTTTTTTTTATAGTATTTTTATGTTCGCGTTTGGAAGGTTTTGACGCTCGTTCGCGTTCGGTCACCGAATGCGAACGCGATGCTACGCAGCTATCGGGATCATCATCTTCTTAGCAATGCATACCCAATATTGGATTGAAGGATAATTTATTTTTCTCTAAGAATAAAATGTTATACAAATGTTTTTCTCATCCTTCTATGTGCGAATAACAGTTGACTAACAACATTGTGAGTTATGATTATTACATTTTTGTCTGCTAGCACAAACGTAATAGGAGTAGGTAAATCTTTGACCTTTATTCCTAGTTGCAACTTATGAATCCCCTTATAGGACCTAGTTCACCCTCCCTCTGCAAGTGCACCCACTCTTGTGCTATTCACTTCCATTTTAGATATTATTAAGTGTCATTCTTCACTTTTCTTCTTATCCCATTAGCTTCATAAGTTAATTTGTTTATCTTGAAGTTCATTAAGGAAAACACCCGATGAGATAAAACACATAATAGTTAGGTACTATGAGCCCTCTGTCCATTCGACCTGAATGGTTCACCGCTTCCATTAATGCTTTCATCCTGAAATGAGTTTCAAACTATCATGTTGGACAAAAACGTACATTGCGCTTTAGTTGATTGAAGAAATGAGAATCTCATATTTTCTTTTCAAATAATACTCAACCCGTTTAATTAACCCCTTTCTCTATTCCGTCTTTTAGCCTCTGTTTGAGAACCCGCCAACTATGTATCATTGCTTCTAATGACAAACATTCTTTGTGTGGAAAATCGGTTTTAATTTGTTTAAGGTTTTGCCTCTAACGCCATACAAGTTTAATTGACGCATATAGGTGAAGAACTTAGGCATTCCACAATGGTTGCCTTTAGTATCTAGAGTAACTTGTGTTGTTGAGTCGTGCATTCGTCACGTCAGAATTTTATCAAATCTCCATTGTTTTTATTCAATGTTCATTATTTCTTCGATGACCTAGAAGGTTGTACTCTTGTCGAGGACTCTATCCTTTAACCTATTTAGGAAATATGCCAAATTCTATATTCCAAGTTTCCAACCCATTCATAAATTATAACATTACTACCATACCAAAAGTTCACATGAAATTGTCCACCGTAGAATACCAGATCCTAACTATGCAACAACCTTCATGTCCTTTCCCCTAGAATACAATCAAAGAAAACCCCCAAGTTAGTGAACACAAATCCTTTTGAAGTAAGGTTAGATTCCTATCTTATAAGAAAAGCAAACATCTTGCATCCAGATAGCGCATCTATGATCTAGAGTTCAACCCAACATAATCAGTTTGGCGGTCAAATTAAACCTATCAGAGTTATAATATCAACCCGACTTCTTGATTACTTGGTCAACTTGGGTCACAAATTGTTTCTAAAAACAAAAGACCCAATGTTGGTGATTCATTTCCTCCGTTTTGTTGAGGGCGTAGTTCAAGTGGTAAAACAAACGAGGATAATGAACTCGATTGTGTAATGATTGAACGACATAAGGAGATGGCCAGACGCGTAGCTTGGTTAGTAATACCATTTTAGCAAGGATTTCGAGGGCCGTCACGTTTTTTAATGCCCATAAACCTCGGAGGTTTGGTTCTGTCCACCTAATGCATTCCTTCCAGCGCCTCGTTGGGGGGAAGCGGGCAGGGGTTAGATGTTGAGGGTCTGTTAGCCACCATCCTACTATTTTAGCCCAATTGATTGTCATTTCATATGCTAACTAGAAAGCTGAGGATAATGAACTCGATTGTAAAATGACTGAACGACATAAGGAGATGGCTAGGCGCGTAGCTTGGTTACCATTTTAGCAAGGATTTCTAGGGTCCTCAAGTGTTTTAATTCCCCAAAACCTTGGAGGTTTGGTTCCATCCACCTAATGCATTCCTTCCAATGCCTCGTTGGGGGGAAGCGGGAAGGGGGTAGATGTCGAGGGTCTGTTAGCCACCATCCTACCATTTTAGCCCAATTGATTGTCATTTCATATTCTAACTAGAATGCTGACATGCTCTGGGTAGCGCTTAAATGGAGGAGTCAGATGCTCTGATTAGAACTATTACATCGTCCACAAAAAAAAACGGTTCTAGGTATGGCGGTTGTATGTCCATCTAGACTTCCTGGGTGTACGTGTCACTCTCACTTGATAGTCAGATCTTTTCTTAAGAACGACACTATCGCCTCCATATCATAATAAAAAAATTGGTGCTGCCAGGGGGTCCACCTGTCTCACCGACCTCAACATTTTGTACAGAGGGGACCTTTCTTTGGACCTGTGTTAAAAACCCTTCACTAGGAATCCAGATCAGGGTGGTGTATTCATAACCAAGATAGATGATCCAAGGGCTTGTGCTTTGCCAAGGAGTGATGTGTGAATTGATTCCCAGACTTAAACCTTGCATCTGACTAGCATTTCGTTAATAACACCATATTGTTTTAATTGCACAAAATTAGACGTCCCAATTTTCCCAGTTTTTTTTGTGCATTTTCTGAACCCATAATATTACATACCTAGAAGGAATGTCATTTAACAAACAATATTACTTCACCATTAGGTCATAAAATATGCAGATAGTAGTACCATGCCTTAAGTTAAGAGTGATATTGACCCAATTGCAAGCATAAATATCACTCCCAAGGCATACTTAGTACTAATTTTCTGTATATTTTATGACCTAATGACAAAGGAATTGATTTGGCCTGTTCGTTAAATGGAATCCCTTCTTGGAGTGTACTCAGTGTAGTAGTATGGGCTTCAAAAAAACACAGAAATCTAGGGAAATTGAGACTTCTCGTTTTTTTTTTTTTAATTAATCCTGAAAAACAGAGGCCGGGAAGATCTTAAAAAAAAACGGTGGAGCTGGTCAGAGAAAGAAAAGGGAAACGAAATTACGCACTTCCTATATGAAGGCTTAAACCGAACAGATGGACTATGAGCAGACGATGGCTACTGCTAGTCCGCTAATCCGTCTCCTGTCAAAGTCGCACACCTTAGCCCCTTTGATCCGCTCGAGGAGCTCTGACAGCATTGATTGCTTCCCTTCGGAAGGATTAACTGTAGTTCTTCCCTGTCAATCGACCCCCCAAATAAGCTTCTTGGAAAACAAGACATGGGTAGTTGTAGTCAGTCTGCTCGTGGCCGACTGTTCGAAAAC